CAACTCAAACCATTCTATGATTCTATGACTGTGACATAATAAAGAGTTACTGGTATCACTGTCTCACCAAAAATTTGACATATTTCAGGCTTAATGCTGAAATACGCTTTGACTTCACCAGCAAAAACATCAGGAAAAACTGGGAAGTGACCGTATTAAAAATATTGACAGAGACCACAAGCATCCTAGCAGGAGCTCATCATTACTCTAGGCCACATGCAAGAGGCATGTCCCAAGCACAGAAGAGCATGCTGGGAGGTAAAGAAGCTCAATTTAAAAGCATTTGTATGCAGACATGCCATGAGAGTAATGCAGTACCTGTGCTTGCTGTAACCCTGGGTACTGTGAAAGCTGAGACGGGGGTCGAACTTGTGGAGAGAAAATAGCAGCTTGGTCCATTGGCTGACCCTGAAAGACACATTACGCATCAGATACAGCCTCCACATCCCAGACAAGTCCAGCTTTGGGCACAAACCCCACCAAGTTGTGTCCTAAAGAGTCACGGAGACACTTGACCATTTTCTTCAAGACAGCACCATTGCTCACTGCCAAACTGCTGAAATGTATTTACTCATAGGAAGATGGAAGAATTGACTTTTGCTTGATGTCTGACACTACTGTAACACTGCAGCATTGAAGAATCAGCCATTTACTGAACAGCCGCCCTTTAAAATGGGGCTTTGCAAAGGCTTAGGAAAGAAGTAATCTAGCTGTCTTGAAGATAGTACATTAAATCATACAGGAAGCTTACAGTGAATGCTAATCTCTGTTATAGCACAGTTGGTATCTTTCTCAGGCTACCTGATCACTAGCCTTTCCCCAGAGGAAGCAAGCAAAATGCTGATTAGCAAATTTGATCATACCAGTATGATCAATGGGCAATGCAAGCATCTCCAGCTCCCAACCAGTACAGCCTGGAAACAAACTTCGTACTTGTGAGCAGCAGACAGGCTCATTTATTCATTTCAGATTGCCAAAATATTTATGTGTACCTAATGGAAATAATTTAAAGATTTCACCTTGAACTGCATTTGTGTATTTTGAAGCTTCAGAAAAGAGGGGAAAAAATAAATATAGACTTAATTTCAGGACCAAGATTGTAAAAAACTGGTGAATGAGAATTTGCCAAGGATATAAGCTAGTCCATGTATTTTCTGTGAGATTGTGGTGCTGCACAGATGCACCTCATAATTTCAAAGTCCATTCTACTTAAAAAAGCTCAGTGGCAGACATGAGCTGGAAGCAGCAATGCTCCTTCCTGCTGGTAGCCTCCCAGTTCACCACAAAACCAAACAAAAAATCCAAGTCCTCTAACAAAGACTCTGCCATTTTAATCAGGATGTCCTTACAGATATGTATTATAATTTAAGGCTAAAAGTGCCATTTGAACACACTGCAAGCAGCAGCATTACCATCAGGGCTACCTGGTGGAAAAGAAAATTTCACATGGGATAAAATACTGAAGCATCACTGGGACTCTCCTCCTTTACCTGCTCCCATCCCTTTAGTGTAACTGTACCGAACATTACCAAGCCTGTAAGCACAATCAGCAGTCCTGCAATCCAACTACTAGTTTGGACTGGGTTTAAAAACATGTGCATCCTCATCAACAGACCTGGGAAACAAGTAGAACCACCTTCTGTGAATGGGAATTACTCAGGGAAGCGGTGCGGTGGAGGGAAGCATTCCAGCTCCAACCGATCCAGCCCCAAGAGATATGACCTGCTGTGACCAGGGCTGGATTAACCACCCAGTGCTTTGGGTAGAGAGCAGACAAAAGAGGTCAAGATGCAAAACCAGGGGCAAAGCTGCCATAGGGTGCCACGGGGTTGGCACACACTCATTCTTCACACCTACCTTTCTTTTAAAAACAAACAAAAAGAAGACTGACCTAGCTAGGCTCTGGGAGCACCACTACAGTGGTCCCTAAGGTGCAGACGAGAGCAGGGAGCTCTGATATGACAAACTACACTAAGGAGGCATAAGCCACACTATGGATTTGTTTTAAAAACAAGCCAAATCTCATAGAAAATTCTGAAAAACAAATTAGGGAGTACAGGAGGTGTGAACAGAGTAACATCCATCAGTCCTGAAAGAAGTTCAGACAAAATTAAGTTTATCTGGAAAATTATCTGCAAAATCAGATGGGAAACTCTCGAAACAACAACTTCATGGGTGAGAAACTGAAACACTGAGCAGAATGTACATCTTGCAGATGGGATGCACATAAAACAGATGACAGCAAGCACAGGGAAAGGTACTCACATATATCAGATTTTTCTTTTTTTAAACAGACGCAAAAGAAGAAAAATAAACAAACAAAAAAAAAAGAACAATAATTTCTCTGAGCAAATTGATGACAAAACTTTTTCATAAAGTGCCAACCACAGCATAAATAAAGATGTAACTTGAAGTCACCCAAAGATGAAATCTGGTAAAACCATGACTGTTTTCTAGAATAACGTGTGCCTTAAACTACTTCCCAGAGAAATACAAATCAGACTGTGGGCTCTATGGAAGCTGGTCTGCGAAGTGGTGCTGCATGCACTGTCCTTTGGTTCTCTCAGCCACAGGTAACCTGGTGTGCCCAAGAGCAAAATTTGTCCGCTTATACCCATGCAGTGGAAACAGTGTCCCTTCAAAGTCAGGGGAAGTTACATCAGTGGAAATTGGATTAGGCCTTAATTCTATATGGAAACACTGAAGAAGCAGCTGCATGATCCCCACGACAAATAACGGGCAGGAAGCCACCGGCAAGTGTTACCACCCATCTCTTCCCCACCATGTAAAGCACACGCAGAGCAGCACACCTGGACTGAAAGCACCACTGCCCAGGCCAAGCAAGCACATGCACACCACCACATGTGAAATGTAAGCAAAAAGCTGCTCATCAGGTAGAGGACAGATCAATTTATTCCATGGCCACACATGGCCACTGAACATGCTCCTGTGTTGTGAGAGCTCTGCATTCTTGAGCAGCAGCAGCAGCAGCAGATGTTGCTAAATTCAAAGGGACTTCTCCCTCCAGGCATAATTTAATAACAAGTTGACTACACATGCAGGCCATTTGCTGCAAGCCAGAACTGTGCATACATGTCACACAAAAACAAAATAGGAAAAAAAAAAAAACAAACCCAAAACAAAAAAGGAGAAAAAACCCAAACACATTTATTCAATGCCAATGCAATGTTACAGTAATAACCACTGTTCTCTTTGTTCTACTCACACTCTAAGTTGAAGCAAAACTTACTGCTTTTTCTTGTCAAGGTATATGACCATCGTGTATCTGGAAGGAATTTCGTTTTCTACATGGTGCTGGGACTGGCAAAGGCAATTGTAGCAGACATGGCACTAATTTTGACCAAAATCTGACCATGTCTGACTTCAGAAGTAGGTAGTGGAACACTAATGCTTATTTAGATAAGATGATGATGATGATTTGAGAGACCTCACTATATACTTGCTGCCTATCTAGGTGTGCCTCGTTAACTGCAAATATGGTGAGCTATACCCTGTTCTGACATGCTACCAGTAACAACAGGAATAATTGCACACATATAAAATACGGACAATGGGGTAAGCAGCAAAGCCTTTTTAAAAACACTTTGCTTTGTCTTTCCAATTAGTGCTTTCAACAACATTGTGGGTTCCCTAAAAAAGGATGAAAGTCCTGCAAACTAACTCTGAAAGAGGTTTTCTAATTAGTATCTGGAAAGCTTTCCAACACAGATATTAGGGATGAAACTTCATGGCATCATTGGTTTTCCCCAGAAATGACGGAATTCTATGAAATCTAATAATTTAACAGGTTAAATTACTAAACTAATTAAAAAACTAAACAGGTTAACTGTTAGTTGTTTAGGAGATGAGAACAAGACGCCCACGCCAGCCATGCTTAGATGAACATGGCATCAAACAGATCTTGCAGCTATTCCCAATCTTTCACAGTGAGAAACACAACAGAAGAGGAAAAAAAATGATCAATGATGCAGTTACTGGAAATATTTACAAGAAAAAAATATTCTGTGTGTGCAAGTGTATTATTCACAGCCTTCCACATGCAGGCACTGCATTACCTAGGTGAGAGGAGTGCCAAAGCGCATCATTCGTACCAAAAGCAAAGTGTGCAGCCTGTGTGTTGAAATGCACGCATGTCTGTGCAAAAGGAAAAATAAGGAGAAGTTCACGGTCTCAAGGTGGTTACCATTATGTTGTCAAAGCCATCCTGAAGGGATACAGCAGTGCTACAGACATCCTAAAGAAAAGGACAGGCAAGAAAATAGCAAACAATACAAAGAATATACAGAATTAGGCTTGGTCTGTTAGTGGAGCACCTTTACATAGTTCACCTGTATGTACTCAAAATGCTGTTTAGGAATGGCATTTAGGAATGCTAACAAAGTTCTTTTAGGTGGTTTTTATGCTCAATACTTTAATGAAATTTGTGAACACAAACTCTAAACGTAGATGAGACTCCTCATCCACAGGAGCCTATTAACAGCTCTATACATAATACTCAATATTTATTTAACAAGTCGTAGTTCTTAAAGATCTGGCATCACAGCTATTTGTTTTCAAGAGCACAGCATGTGCAGCACAGCACTGAGGAGCAGAGCACTTCTACACTAGTTTTACAGAACTGTCCAGACCCTTGCTAGTGACTTCAAGCTGAGCAGGTAATTTCATTCTGCAGGGGCAGAAACATAAAAAAAAAAAAAACAAAGAAGAAACCTTCCTTATTTAAGCTCTACCTAACGACATACAGCACACAGTAGCAATGCTTACAAATCATCTTGTTCCTAAATTTTCAACTACCACCTCCAGGCTCTTCACTGCTATAGCATTTCCTACTCTAAATCCAGGACCACAGGAAGTACTACACAAGCTCCCCAGGGATGTGTTTCTGACCTACAGCACCACGCACATGTCCCTCTGGGGCAGCCCCCAGTGCCAGGAAGCATGCAGAGCCCCAGGTCATGGGGACCTCAGAGGGGTTCTCTGGTGTCAGCACTGCCCGCACAGGCTTCGACAACAAAGCAAGCAGACAGGTCAGCCTGGTGAAATGTTTATTCATTTCACTACAGTGACAGTTTTCACGTATCAGGCTGAATAAATCTCCCCAAACATCCAGTAAGGCAAAATGTTAAAAGAGAAACAATGTGTCCACCTGTCTCCAGCACACCACAACAGACCTGGCTGTGCATGCCACTATGTGGAAGTAACTGGGAAACAAAGTTTGGGTTTGGATAGCTCTGTCTTGACTTTGTTTACATCTGTTTAACTTGTAGCTGATTTATGGTTGAAATAAAAACACAGCTGATACAGAACTGCTGACTGATGAACATCCAGCACACGTTGCACCTTAGGTGAAACAGGTACCTGAACCTACCCTGCTGAATTTTAGTGCAACTTTTACATTTTTACTGTTACATTCTAACAGTTCAATCCAAATTTTATGAAAAAATTAATCATAGACACCTTATTAATCTTATTTAGACATGGATACATGTCTTCATGGTAAGTTTGTTCTCCCTACTGCCAACCTGCCTATGCCACACTTCGGAGCAGAAGTTAACCATTGTTCTTAACACCTCAGACACTATTCCTGTTTTAAACCAAAAGGGAAATTTTCCTCTAAATGTGACAACGTTAAAACCAGCATTTCTTAAATGTGAGAATAATGTGTTATTTTAGATCTTCAGTTATTACTTTTTGATCCCCTAGCCATAGGTAGTGACCATCATTTGTTTACTCTAACACTCTCACTGGAGCCTGTATTCTATCACAGTAATTGAAAGCCAGTTGGACCTAACACTAAAATAGTGAGATATTGCCTAATGTCAAAAATACCACAGGGTTTCTATTAAATAAGAAGTGATGTCTCACCACAGAGCCCAGTACCCTAACATGTAGGGTAGCTAACCCTGAGTACCTCATAGTGTCCACAGGACACTAATGAGTGATTAAATATCCATTGTACCACTGATATGATAAAACACAAATCTGGAGCTTGGAGGGCTCTTTGAAACAGAAAAATCCTGGTTTCATAATTATGAGCAGTCCCCTATAAAACTATCATAGCCCATTAGCAGTTTAAGTACCACAAAGGGCTTTGCAGGGAGACTGAAAGAGAGTTAAGAAGGATAATGAGAGCTGTAACGAAATAGAGACAGCGTGGGAGAAATTATTAGGAGACTTGCTGAAAATTTTTACTATTTTGAGCAAAGTGGGTGCATCACAGAGTTTAAAGGCAAGATGGCATAAAAGCAATATAATATATACTTCAGTGATGGTAGGAATGGGTACAGAAGGACTTTAAAATAACGAAGTTACTGGTTTCACCACCAACTACTGTACACATATTGCTGTTTATCTGGGATCCAAAAAACAATTTTCTGTTCTTACGCCATCTGTTCAAAAGCAGCCTATCTGTAGCAGCCTACTCTGAAAGCTTGCTCAGGCTCTGAAGGGTGTTGCACAACAGCCATGTGTGGTTTGGCGCACAGCAGCTGTACTCTGCAAAAATGTTAGAAGAAATACCAGCTATTTCTAGAGAACACGAGAGTGTCTGTGTGCACACGTGTATGGAAACAGCTCCTGATGGACTTCCTGGGTTTTTAATTGTGAGGAGCATTGCTGGGCCTCTGTTGCTTACACGTAGCTTGGTTGTACACAGCACCATGCAATTCCACTATGAAGGCCTCTGCGACACAACAGGGAACAAGAGTATCATCAAGTAGCAGAAGAAAACCTGATGTTATGAAACACAGAAAAAAAAGAAGGGACTAAGAGACCAAAGGGCAAATGAAGTTTCAAAGCAGATGGCCCTGGTTAAGCAATATTTGGGGAATTACTGCAATTGTCAATATCAGCTGGCTCCCTGCTCTGTAAGCCTATGCAGAGCAAGCAGCCCCTATGGAAGGCAGAAACACTGTGTTGGTTCTTCAGAGTTAGGTGTTTGGACAAACCTGTTGGAGAGACCGTGACTGTGCTTGCTGCCTGAGGAGCCGCTGCTGCTGCTGCTGCTGCTCTTGCTGCAGGAGTTTCATCTGGAGCAACTGCTGCTGAGGCGTGATTGCATGGATAGAGGGGGGCTGCATCATGGTGCCAGAGCGCCGCTGCAGCATGTTCGACAGGGCTTGCTTCGTATTAGTTGGAACAAAGGAGCCTGTTGGATCCAGCCTGGAACCACCTAAAACCACCCAAAACACAAATGCGTTCTCTGCCTTCCGTGAGAGTGTTGTTGGTACAGATCACTGCTAATTCATCAGCTCCTATTTGGTTAGCTCTACAATAAAGATGATAAACTTATCTCTGTAAAGGCAGACAGCGAACTGGATTAAACCAGATTACTGGCCTGAAAAATGAAACAAGCAAAATAACTTTGAAGACTGTCACTTGTAAATGAGAGAGAAAAGTGAAAAGACTGTTGCATGTTCTATGTCATATAAAACATGTGACTACTACTGATGAACAAAAGTTGCATGTCAGATCAAAAGCATCATATGAGCAGCTTATTATGTCACACCAATTTTATAATGAGATGGCAGTAATTTATGCACTCCATGCTATTTGATAAAAATCATGTATCTATACGTCAGACTTACAAAGGTGATCCTGTATGTTTGGTTTCAATATCAGCATCTCCTTAAACTTCTTAGCCACATATAGTCTGGTATATTCTGAAGACTTTTACACACTTAAAATACAGATCTAGTTGTACTCAGAGCTTCAGAAAAAATAGTTAACATTTTTAACTGGAACCAAACTTCTAAAATTCTCCTGCATACTATCGGACAAGGACACAATAGGATCTCTCAAATCATAACCTGCTGCCCCCTAGAGAAAGTAAAATACCTATGTTAAACTGTATGCATATTAATTGGAAGAAACAAAACAATCCCACAAAAAATTAAGCACATATCACAGGCACAAATGTTGAAAAAAATGCAAGCCCATGGATTTATTTATTCCATCTAGTAGATGCTAAATTAGCCCCCATGGCTCTTGGTATGAATCAAAGAAGAAATAATGCAAAGGTCATTTTCTCCTTTCAATTGTCCCTCTCTTATTTGACTCTTCACTGAACTTCTACTGGCTTTCTTATACTATCACCACAGTAGGTCGTTTTTGCTTATCTACCAAAAAAGGTTAATAGCTTAATAAAGATAGACCTACAACTGATAATAGAAAGCCTTAAAAAAAAAAGGGCTGACCAAGGAATGAAATAAATGGCCTCAGCAGACACAGGCTGCTTCAGGGAAAGTCAGAGACAGAACATGATTATAAGAAGACAACTTTTGTCACACACACCAAGTAATAAAGCCACATGTTTGTGAATTCAAAGCTTACCCATACCTGGTGGGAGGGATTGGTTCTGCACAAAGAAACCTGGCTGCTGTGGCTGGCCCATGATACTGTAACCCCACAAGGCAGGCTGAGGAGGATGCATCACTTGAGAGGAGACTGGGGAGTAAGTGGGAGGCACTCTGTATAAGTTGTTCTGTGGATATTCCTTAAAATATACAGCAAAAGTGAATGTTACTGACATTCATACCTTACTAACTCATAAATAATGCCAGTTTTCCTACTAAATTATTAAAGGACAGAGACAGTTCTCATTGTCATTTGCAACGATGTAAAAACCAGATTAAGTCTCAGGCTGCCCCCAGGTAATTAACATGAACAACTTCATGCACACACCATCCATTTTAACCTTATTAACAAGTATTTTTTGCAGGCTATAATTAGGTATAGCACAAGGACTGCTTACTGTATCAGCATAGAAATTACACGAAGAACTTAACTGAAACATCAAAAGGTCAGAAAATTATCTTAAAATTATAGCTACTGAAAATGCAACATGTAGGCAAACCAGCTGGATGCTGACAGAACACTATCACATCTAGAACGTGTATGACTATGCTGGCAGCAGTGTGAAGAAGACTTAATTGCACAGAATGCTGCTTCTGGAAACGCACATTATTATTTGGGTGGTGTCAGGGATGTTTTTCAAACCCTTGCTCTAATGATTCTTCAGCTTAGAAACCCACACCTCAAAACCCAATAAAAACTAAAAGGAAAAGCATCCCAGAAACCAGAACAAACCGCAAAGTAAATCAGTTCATCTATGTGAAAGAACCTCTTTCAAACCTGCTTACATTTGAATGGGACCTGGGTTTAAACTAACATGTTTGCTCTCAATGTAATTTGAACAAGAGGAATTTTAGAAATGGATACAAACAATAACAGCTGTACTTTACACCAAATGCAAGCATATACAGAACCTGAATCATATTTATTAAGATCCAGTGTAGCATATTTTACACAGCACATAATGTCCTAAGCATATTAGACCTCTACCCTAAGCTGTATTTGCCAGAAATCCACCCTCCTCCTGAACATGTCCATTCGCCCCCTTTATTAGGACCCTCTCTCCTGGGTGCAAAGCGATTTTTGAAGGTAGCTAGGACAGCACCATGTAACATCAGATGCTTCAGTGATATATTTCAGGTTTTGTATGGGGCACCAACTACTTACATCAGCCCTTGAGCTTGACTTTGACTTTCGTTTCCTGCTCTTCGTCTTCTTCTCGTCATCTGTGGCATGTTTTCCCTGATCAGAGAACTCTCCTGACTTTCTTTCTGGTTCCTGAGACACAGGTGTGGTGGGCTCTTCCTCCTCCTCCTCTGGAGGAAGGGGTAAGGGCTCGAGGTAGTAACTCCGTGGCTTGGGTTTGGTGTGCATGTGGTACAGGAGGAGATGCTGCTGCTCCTCGTATTTTATCACTTTCCTGTCGACACGAACTGTACCAAACCATGCCCAGGAGAGAGGAGCAGGATTTTTGTGACCTTCAAATAAATCCCAAGGGGACACCTTTTGTTTTGTTGAAACCTGAAGACCCTGTTTTAGAATAAAAGTGAAGTTCATATTTTAAGAAAGTTGAGCACTAAGGCAGATGCACTTTCTGTATCATTTGAGTCAGAAAAACCCAGTAAGGATTTTCTTCCTCCACAAAATGTACCAAATGCATACAGGTGAGATTTTAACCTTTACCCAAGGCTGCCATTATAGTACCATTTGCTTATAGCTATGCTAAAAATTTCAAATTCCATTATCATATTTTGAATGAGAAGTCAAGTATCTATCAAAAATTACTACTCTGAGAATATCCTGGCTAAAAGTTTACATAGTCAAATAAGGGGAAAAAAACCTAAGCACTCTATCACCAAAAAATGCCAACCCAGTCTGCAGAATAAAAAGCTCTACCCTAAGGTCTGTTCTTCTCTTGTAAACAAATTCACTTTAAGTCATGCATCCCTTTGTATTCCAAATAAATCCAAAACAACTAGTACACTTTTTTTCCCCTCTGTCTTTTGTAAGCAGGATCAATCACCCTCCATCTTCCTACCAGCAGGTAACAGGTCAAAAGGTTTCAGGTCAAAAGACCTCTCAAAGGTAGGATTGTGCTTGAAAACAAATACTTTTTTTAAGAGCTGCTGCTGTTCAACTCCAAGTCAAATGTAATTTCCTTTTTCGGAAACTTTTGTGGAGTTGGCATGATCAGTCAAGACCCTGTATCGCAGAACTGGGCAATTGAGCAAGCTTATGTGAACACTCATCCCATTAGCAGTTGCAAACTGACTGTGTACCCTGCACATGTAACAAGGGCGGGCATGTAGCAAATGTGACGACTGAAGTTTAAACAAATCAGAAAGTGAAATGTTACCCAAACTCTTCAATTTGTACAAGTGGCATAAAATTGTTTCCGTTAAAGATGCACATCATCTATCTAAAGCTCCAAGGCTCTGCAGTGAGTTGTCAGGGAGAGTGGGATGGGATGCTTCCAGTTCTGTTGCAGGGGTGGTGATGCCGGTGCATGGTCCCAGTCACTCAACGCTACTCAAACCCCTTTGGCTGTGGCGTAGCAACTCTCCGCGTGCCTCTAAACCCACTCCTGGTTTCACGCTCCCTGAGGATTTTCATATGGATCATGCAAACAAAAACTGTGCAAGAATATTTGGAACAGAAGTGTATTTGATTCTAAAAATGATCTGTCATTTGCAACTTTTTTTAAAGGTAGTATTCAACAGGTCAGGTTTTCCTCACTTTTGGCACCAGTCTCACAGAACGCCTGCCTGTTTTTTCAAAAGAGACTGCATTGCTGTGGCTGAAGGTTTAGTAATGACTGAGAGTGAACCAGAAAGCTGAAGTACAGCAGAAGTGCAACGCTTTCATGTTATTGCATATAGACGCACGTACTGTCCAAGCTGTACCTGTTTGCTTGAATTTCCTACGCTCCAAAAAGCATGGAAGAACTGAGATGAAAGCAAACATTTACTCTTGCCTGTTTCTTATCAATGGAGTCAAATCCTGCAATTTTGTTTCCCTTGGTGTCTATCAAGGATCCCATTGGCTCACAAGTGATAATATCACATGTCTGCTTCGGCAAAGGGAGCAGCTGGCGAACCTTGTCAATGCTTTCCGACCGCTTGTCTCCCAGCTCTTTCTAGAGAATAAATACATCCATCAATCAAACAAGGGGCAGGAGAGAGAGAAACATTATACTACTTTCATCATTAGAAAATGTCCAGTTTCTGGATGAGTCATTTCCTTGTACTTCTGTTAAATTTAAACAAGTGGCTTTGCAAGGGTTTTTTTGGGTTGTTTTGGGTTTTTTTATGTGTTTTTTTCCTTTTTTTTTGGTTGGGTTTTTGGGTTTTTTTTAGAATATAAGTTATCTTTTCATCTCTTGTTTATACAGAACATAGAAAACGTGTAACACAAAGTTAGTGTCTCAAACATGAATAAAATAACTAAGCATCTTGCAGGGTCCCCACTTTTAATTTAATATGAAGAAAATACTTGAAGTCTGTCTTCCCACCCCCAAATTCCTGTATTCTTATTATCTTCTTTTTATCCTTGTTATCACTTAGGGCCGTTTCAATCTCTCCTCTTTTTCCAAGAGGCCTTCCCAGACACTGGAAGCGACAGGACTAAAACAAGCACAGAATGCAATTTGAAAGAAATGCTGAAAATGACAAGACATAACACTTACTTTTAATTTTTTCACTAAATTCATATAAGCCCTTTTGTTTTCCTCAGGCCCTCCTTGGGAAGCGTTTGACAAGTCCGAGGCAAGTGTCCCATTGATGAGAACACCCAGCATATCAAGCACGGTTGTGAACAGTTCACTGGGAGGAAAGACAAGTATTACCCTGACAACTACTGATTGCCAAGAGATGCAGGGACAGATACTCACAGCAAAGGCCACAAGCGCAGCCCTTCAGACAAACTGGGTTTTTCAGAGCTTTCTGCACGGACACACACCTCAGCTTACATGCATAAGCCCCAGCACATACATTCAGGTGGACTGTCAAGACATGCACACAAATCTTATTGTAAACCCCTGTTCAGAGCTACAAACAGCAGAAACTAGTAACAGACAGTCATTGGGAATTACAGGCTCCAACTTAGGGAACCACTCAGGTATGTGCTTGTTAAGGAAAAGTGTAAATAGTGGCTCCAGTGCTTTCCAAACCAGAGGTGCTTCCTGAACCAAGACCAGCACTGAACATGGAAATTGCGCTCAAGCAGTAGGAGGGTAATAGTAAGAAAAACATAACAATAACATATATGCTATCTAAACTTATAAGCGCTAAGGACATGAATTAGCTTGTTTAAACAGTGCAGACATACTTGTTGGTCTGCAAATCAACAGTTCCTGAAGTGATTATCTGGAGAAGCAGAAGTGCCCAGTCCGTGGTCCACTGGGTACTCCTCTGCACAGTGTCAAACATGCCACCTACCTGCAAAAGAACACAGCAGATAGCAAGGCTCTGCATGTATCTCACAGAGGCACGGTTCCCTTATCAAATGGGTTAATTATGAACAAAACTTCTTTCCAGTTCCCGCTAGGTCTTGTGTGTTGAATGCCACCTTGAAGTGCTGACTTTAAATAATGTTCCTCCCCACCCCATGTTCCCAGTAAAAAGCTTCTCCTAAGGATCTGTAGAAAAGCAGAATATTATTACACTTCTCCTCCAGTTTTGTATCGTCACTTTCATGTTTGATGCAACAAATTTAAGTCAGTGAAAAAATTCTCAGAACTGAAAAAGTGTCAGATTAAAACTTTCTAGTTATCACTTTCCCACACCCAAAAATTAGACAATAATGTCCAGTGAAAAGAGAAAACAGATCTGAAGAAACAGATAGCATGGATTGAAAATGAAAACTGCTGAAAGATGTATTTTATCCTATGAGCAATTTTTCACTATTGCTATCAGCATAGTGCGATACTGTAACACATGCCTTGGCTTTGAGAAGGAGCCATTTTATGCTTTACTTTAAGTGCAGTCACAGTGATCCCAAAGCTGGTCACAGCTGGCTCAAGTCCCTTTGACGTGAACCAGGAGCAGTGCAAAGGCTATGGTTACCCCTCTAGTTGCACAGCTGCATCTAAGCAGCTGACAAAGACACATGAAGAGAACAACACTGCAGTGTTACACCTATCTTGGTGCTCCCTTATTTGGCCTCCACAATCCTACTGCACTGTGCTAAACAGGCTGCGGTGGTCCTGACCTCTGGTACACAGGTTTCAAGAGATATGGGACACTGGAGAACTCAGTGGAAACTTTCTAAGTTAATACATATATCCAAGTAGCAGCAACTGAAATTGCACAGGTAAGTTAAATAGCTGAATGTTACATTCCCTGGAAGCTCTCAAATTCTCAACTATATTGACTGCCCAGTTCTATAAAATCCTTGCTTGTTACATGGGGATAAAACATCAGTGGGCAACAGCCTGGAACATCCACAAAAAGATGATACATTTCTGAGGTTCCAGGGACATTGAAATGAAGAAAGCACCAGAAAAATAAAAGCACAAAGTATAGGGTGCCATTCCCATTCATTTTATATGATTAATGTCCAAACATTATGGTCAGGAGGCATCAGCTGAAACAAGAGAGACAGAAAGAATAGAGACAACCACCAATGGAGTAGAAACACCCTTGTGTCAGGGCAGAGGGGTACTAACAGCCCTTGCTATCCCTGGCCAGCCCCACCTGGGGCTAATCCCGCCCCTGGCCCAGGAGCCCCCAGCTGGGAGCCTGAGCCTGTCCCTGTGGGACCATGCCAGGGCTGCATCTGACCCTGGCTCCCCTCACCGGGCCTGATCCTGAGCCACCACAGTGAGCTGACGTCCTGGTGTGGCCTCAGCACAACCCCATCCCAGCAGAGGTACCTGATGCCCAGGCTGGGAGCTGCAGTACTCCTTAGCTGCAAGCTTTCAGGAAGCCCGAGCCCATGTGGCACCCTGACATGGTACCTTCCCTCTCCTTACCACCTGCTTCAGAGTAGCTGTTACAACTTTTTATAACATCAGGATAACCACAGAAGTTTTTCTTACCAAGTTAAGACGAAGTTGTAGGGCTTCATGCATCATTTGCCTAGCTTTAACATCATCCTGGTACCGTTCTTCCCTCCAGTTGCTAAGGATCTAAGAAAAAGCATTTGATTAAGGTTGTTTTATTGCTGTAAAGGAATGTTCTCCCATTAAGTATTTGTGATGATTATCTGTAAGGAATCATAAAAGATTATGAACCTTTTTATCCTTGTGCCTGTTTAAGGTTTAGAGCAGATTAAGCTCACTAGTAGAGGGGAAATGTAAAGAGTTGATACTATGCTATCAATTGTGTTAGTTATGCATTTATTAAAAATATTGTTTCAAACACCCTGGTTAACTGTTCACCACAGGTAAGCAAATAGACCTCTTGTACTGGATGCAGCTTCCCAACCAAATCTGGTGGGATCTCTGCATGAGAAATGACCAGAGCCCCAGGGACCAGCTGCATTTCAGGGCAGAACCCATACAACAAAAGAAAGCCCAAGTGGCAGTGACACCAGGGGGAAAAAACCTCAAAGAATGAACTCCTCCTATTGCCTATCAGCTCAGGTCCAGGCTGCAACATAGCTCCAGCCTGGACCTCAGCTGAGAGGCAATACGAGAAAACAATGCACCTTAGGCATCAATTTTCACTGTCACAGTAATTCATAGAAACTAAAGACAGAGAAAAGGAAACATGCACCCACTATACTGGGCACTGTATACATTCATTTTAAAGACCATCTTAAAGAGCTATTGTAGGCTAGAGCATGAACCACGTGAGAGCAGGAAGTTCAGAGCAGAATCGGCAGAACTTGTGAGGAAGCACAAGTGATCCAAAGGAAAAGCTGTAGGCAAGGGGCCAGTCTGGGACTAGCAATATTGGTTTTTAAAAATACAAAGAACTCTTAATCTGTAGCAGCTGGAGAAGACGAAGGATTTTCCTAAACACGGAAAATTTCAAACATAAAAACCTTTTATGATTAGCTAGAGACTGAGAAGACTATTCCTTTGGGTACAAACATCAGTTACTGTTTTTCCTGGAAACAACTGAAATCAGACTCAAGTTCATTATATTTCTTTGCAACAATTTTAGAAAAAAAGATGTATTCACTCTCTAAAAGGAACAAACACTTCCCCATTCTTCCTTCCTTGGACTGTTCCTTTTGGCATAGCATTGCATTGTAATTTTCCTGGGTTTACATCATCATATACCCATATAAACGATGACACATGAAACATCTCACAAAGGGTGCTCATGGTTATGTGCTTGTTTTACCTGATTAACTTGATTCTGCAGTGATGTTAGAAGCCCTTCCCGTTGCTCATCCTGCCCCTTAAGGCAAGTAAGTACCAACGAAAGGAAAGGTTGCTGACTCAAGAGAGACATGCTTTAAGAGAGGCAAACACAGAAGTCAATTAGTGAAGTTATTTTGATACTTCCCATCCTTGCTCCCTTCCTTGTTTTGTCTACTTTTTTTCCTTGAAGTGGCACTGGCTGCATCTAAGTCTGTTTCTGTTTTAGTAAATTAAGGCTTTGCCAGGCAAATTAAAAGATCATGTACATAAGTGGGCACAGCACCAGCCAGTGTAAACACACATATTATGCGTGTCATTACTGAGAACCCACCTAGCCCAGGGCACGGAATGACCAAAAGTTGCATGGACACTTGAAGGCCTGACTCAAAATCAGACCATGTTATTTTAAGACTAGTTTAATTAACTGGGGATACAATTTTAGTGGAGATTAGGCAGCTAAAGTTTCTAACCTATGTTAGTGGTCTGATGTGAATTCCAAGTAGTTTCCCATGCAAGCACTGATTAGTGATAGCTGCCTACCTAAACTGCACAAAAATTCTATCACAGGCTTAGCGTAGATAAACTGAGATGCAGCTTTAGCTGGTTGCAGGAGCTATGCCATACCAATGCAAGGGTGTTCAATATTTTTTTATTATTATATTAATGTGTATCCATTATAACATAAAATTAAGACAAACTGAAAGAAATACACAAAGATAAATTTGAAAGTACATGTGAAGCAGAAGAGAAGTTTAAAAGGTCAGCAAAGGGATTTGAGTAACAGCTTGTGTAATGATTTTTGCAGTTTTAGGTATATAAGCTCCTTGAAAATTCCATGTGTCTATAAACACAACATAAATACATGTGCACACATGCACACGTGTATTGATTACAAGTAGTCATTTTAACAGTTATTTTCATTTGGAATTTAACTTGACTTCAACAATTTAGGTGACAATTAGTATAAAGGAATGGCAAAATCCCAAGGTCCAATAAAAGCTGAAAAATAGAAAGTCTGGATTTTCAAAAAGCCATGTTAAAGAGCAGTTTTTCAGATTTTAGGAACAACATGGTAGGAACACCTCCTCATTTTCTCATTAATTTCCTTAAGAAAAATTTACAGTTTGCAAGACAGTTATTATTGCAACTGCTATCCCTACTACCTAAAGCAGAGTACGAAAAAAGAGTTCTTATATATGCGTCCTGGTTTCAGATGGAACAGAGTTAATTTTCTTCCTAGTAGCTGGTGCAGTGCTGTGTTTTGGCTTTAGTCTGAGAACAATGCTGATAACACACTGATGTTTTAGTTGTTGCTAAGTAGCGCTTACCCTGATCAAGGACTTTTTAGTGTCTCATGCTCTGTGAGTGAGGAGGGGCACAAGAAGCCCAGGGGGAGCCAGGACAAACTAACCAAAGGGTTATTCCATACCACAGCATGTTATGCCCAGTATATCAGCTGGGGGGAGTTACCCAGAAGGGACCAATCACTGCTTGGGTTGAGATGGGTATCAATCAGCAGGTGGTGAACAATTGTACTGTGCATCACTTGGGTTTCTGAATTTTCATTTCTTTTTTTTTTTTTTTTTTGTTCCCTATTATTATTATCAGTATTGTGGGGTTTTTTTTGTATTATTTCTATTATCACTATATTTTACTTTATTTCAACTACTAAACTGTTGTTATCTCAACCCGCGCGTTTTACATTCTTTCAATTCTCCCCATCTTGCCCAGGGTGCTGTGGGAGGAAAAGGGTTAGTGAGAAAGTGGTACTTAGTTACCAGCATGGTACTTAGTCACCAGCTGGGTTTAAACCACAACAATATGCAATATAAGATTTCATACTTTCCCACAGTATCACTGGTTTTCCCACTCACAGAGTAGTAAAGTTTGTTTTCAACAAGCGGTTTTCAAAAAGTGGTTTGTTTTCTTCAGTAACTGTACTTCGGAAGAGTTTCACAACAAGAAAGATAGTTGGTATTTGAAGCTTGTGTATAGTATTGAATTTGAAGCTTGTGTATAGTATTGAATGTAATTTCTATCATAACTCTAAGGAAGTACAAAAATTATAGGCACTGTGGAAGAGTATTTGACTAAAGAAAAATCAATAACCATTAAGTCATTAAAATTCTCATGTGCTTTGAAAGTTAAGAGATGAGCTCAAGCTTAATTTCCAACAGGAATTAGATGACATCTTATGACAATTATGGGATCTTAATGGCAAGGAAAGTGGCCTACTGACATGGAAAGGAAGAGACAACGACAGTTAGACATTATCTTAAATGTCTAACTTTTCCCACCACCAAGCTGCAGAATAGCCACTGGAAGATGTGCTACAAAGCTTTCACATTTTGTCCTCTGATACCAATGATATTTCTTCAAACTAAATGAAACCTGAACCCTGCTTGGGGTTGATAACTTTTTGCTCCACAAAAGTGAAGCAATGAGGTTTGGTGAAGCCAAAATCCAGCCCTCAGTATACCCCTCCTTCAGAACTACCTTTCACCTCTGTGTATAGGGATTTCCCAAGGTCGTACCTTTTTTGTTTCTGTCTATCTCTCTCCTTCTTAGAAGATGACCCCAAATGCTGACCTTTCTCCAGCTCCTCTCCCGCAGCTTTCAAGACCCTACCTTGAACTGAGGTAGGCAGTTTTGCAATCAAGGGAGCCACCAGCCACACTCCTCGCCATTCAGAGGAACTAGAAGTAGAACAAACTTACTTCAGCCAAAATATCCATGTACTTTTGCAAAGAGTATTAGCTGTTACAAGACTGAACTGCTTTAATAAAACTGTTGGCACAATGCATCTGGAGTAACTAGTGTGGACTGAGCAGTCACCATTTCTGGTTTCCAGAAAGTTCAAGAATAGCAACTATATTTACTGTTAAACAAAACTAAACAGAAGTAACCTTCAGGTAACTCATTTCTGTACATTCCTTTTTCAAGTGCAAAAAAGTCTAGGCAATCTATGCATAATTAAGTATCATGTTGGCTAAAATAATTAAAAAGGTGCTACAAAAAATACCTTAGGAATGTCTTTTTACCATTCTGTCTTGTATTACTTGTGTCAGCATTTCCAACAGAGTTTGGATTGAAGAGGCCTATACCAGAGTTAGAAGAGTTATTGTTTAGATCAGCGGATTGCTGAAACACCTCTATTGTCGCCTTTGCAATATTATCCAACAAGCTGTTCATTTCAGCCACAGACCCAGAACCCTACAGTAAAACATAAGTAAACTAGCACATTCATGGTATGTTTGCTCATGGACTACGTTAAAATTTAACATACTTTTTTGCATTAAATATTTAGATAAGAAAGTTTGAAAACAAATACTCACAGGCTCCTTCATGCACTGTTTGATCATTAGTTGCAGCTCCAACCAAGACTGCCGGAGAGTCCACTGATCTAAGTTCTGGGTAAGAATTAACATTACAAATGTCAACACTTCAGGTCTGAAGAAAAAAAAAATCTCATAGTTGAACATGGTACATGCAAAACATTATCTTATAAACAGATCATCACAATCACTATAATTTTTAATAGTCTAATGACATGTGAAAATATCAGACCTATCAAAGAATGTACATTAACTTCCATATCTTTGCAGCTAATATCCTTACTCGATACTTTTGACCACACAACTTTGCTGAATAAAAATGTCACTCTCTGTAAAATCTGAGTTTAGTTAAGTGTGAATATGGAAAATGTAATTCACTCCTTCATTAGTAATTATATTACTCCATGGCACTGCCATCCTAGTGGACATGTTCGCATTTAGCACAATGGCCAATCTGATTCTTCGCAGGTCTATTCAAAGAAATCCCAAGCACTTGTCTTTATAGTTTAAGAAATTAAGTGTCCCTAGTGCAGCTGAATTTGAAGACATGATCAGTTTAGGACTGTCCATGAAGGCACCTGAGCCTTTCCCGTGGGCAGGAGTGCCTTTCACCACAGTAGTGTTAGAGGCCTACTGAGACCGTAGGCATCTCAACCTAGGCAACCCTAAAAGCAGCTCCCTTTTCAGTGGCTTCCTAATGACTGACAACAGTGAACAGCAACAATGATCATGCTGCATGCTTGTTTCTTCCATAACTGTGGAATCAGACATAATTAAACATCAGAAGTCACACAACAAAATGTTTCCCAGAGTGGGAATCCTGAGCACATGCAGCTTTTAATGAAGAATCTAATGCTTGATTGCACCAGAAACTGCAAATCAGTGTCAACTGGTGGTGCTGGTGAATGATAGGTTAAAAGCCAGTACATCACAGGTAGTTTTTCTTCCTTTTCCCCATTGCATTACCTGAAGTATGCACTTGATATGCTGCCTCTGAGGGTTGTCACCCTCCGTGCATTCTTTAATACCATGAGGATAACAGATAAGTTGAAGCAGTTTCTGTGCTTGTTTGTTTGAAAGAACGGGATCCAAAATAAGATCTTTGTCTGTGCACAGCCTCTCAGGTTCTTTTAAACAGTGTTCTCCAACCCATTCCTATAAGTAATCAGATAAACAGGTCCAGAACATAGTTTCAAGACAATATTAACTTTTGGTAAGCTAAACAGAAAAGTGATTTTTCCACCTGCAAAGCTTGAAGTGAACTACGGTTCATGCAACATTGAGATTATAAATGCCTTCTGTCATTCAGTACCTCCTGAAAGTACAAGATTGTTAATAGTTTTTTTCCAAAATGAATTTATTCTATATTCTGAAAGCAACTTTGCAATAGAGCAAATGCTAATGCAAAAGCACTTGAACAGACAGCTGACGGTCCTATTGTCTGCTCAAAGCCTTTGAGATTCAGGTAGGAAAAAAACCTGATTTTTTTTAGAGTTCTCATAGAGAGCAGGGAGATGCTAATAGCTAAAGCAATTTCTTCTCCCCCAGTAACATACTACGCCATGTATAAATTTTCCAAATGAGAAAACCCAAACAGAACTCAAATACTGAAATACTTCAACAATCATTTTGCACCAAAATACATGATAACACTTTTCAAATAAAATAGCACTGTTTCTCCAAATGAAGACGGATAAGTACTTTAGAGATTACCTGCTGACAAATTGTTCTTAGCACATATCTAGCATACTCGCTTAAACTAGCAGTTTCTATTTGAACAGCTTTTCCACATGCTTTCAAAGTGTGAGAAGAACCCCAGACTTCATCCTCATTGAGTTCATCTAACAAGCCTCTCATATGGAAGTCTTCACTCTTCAAAGAGTTGACATTGTTGTTGCCAATTTCGGCATCACCTGCACAGCAGAAGCACAGAAGCAGAGGGTGAACTTCTGCTGATGCCCCCAGATCGCTTACCTGCCAGGGGATGTCTCTGCAGGGACAGGCCAGCTGAGGGGTAAAGCAGGAGTGAGGCAGCCACAGTAAAAGGGCAGCACTAATGGACTCTGAAAAATCACCATGGTCAAAGTATTCTCCACTTGCTTCATTTTGCATAACATCTTTGTAATGGATATTTCAGAAGTAGAAAAAGGTTTAAACAAATCAAACACAAGTAAAGCCACTATGTGCTCAACAAGAAAAGTTCTGTGAGTATATGAAACTGCTTTGGCAGATAAGGAAGAGTTGGGTTACTGACTCTTCTCAGGTATTCCTTTCCCAAGTCTTATTTTTATTTATTATCACTCCATAGATCAAGAGACAAATTTTGACCAGTGGTCCCTTAGCCCACCTTCCTATGAACTTCTTGACAAGACAGACTGATCTTCCAGGGAATGGAGAGGGGTAGAGCATGCTGAGGGAGCCTGGCCAACACTGGTGAGTCCCTCCTCCTCCCTGCAAGGTACTGGCACAGCAGTACAATCACCATCTACCTGAAACCAACAGGGCTGACCAGAGACAAGGAAGAACACCTCAGACACAATACAAAAAAAAAAAAAATCAGAACTGTAGCAGTTACTGTTTTACATATTTACAGGCCTGGAACCTTGGGCAATGAAAAAGATGCAACTACAGTATGTAGTAGTGGGGAAAACAACACAAACCACTGCACATAATCATACCCCAGAGCCTGCAAGGCCATCCAGCAGCCTGCATGAAGAGTGGGCTAACACAGCCTAATGTTTGAAGTCACCAGAAAGTCCCATGGTTCTTATGATAGTCATCTCTCAGAGAACATCTCAGATCAACAACTAACGTGACATGACAAGGCTAAATGGCTTGCTTCAGTCACTTATTCACACATACACAGAACAGCACAAGGAACCAGCTCTGTAGAAAGAGGAGAGACTGAATGAACAGTGTTGTCACTCATGAGACAACACTGCTATTTTTCCAATAGCAGAACATATCCTGAGAGGTGAGAGTTAAAATCTTTGTTCCCACACACCCAGGCAAATCCAAAAACCTCCATATCACTGACCCAATGACTGGTAGATCAGACACATCAAGCCCCAAAGAACCCAAAGGTCAGGACAAGCTCATTGCAAAGAGCATGGGAAACAAGCTGATGGAAGCCTGTGCCCAACACGTGTGAACAGAGAGCAGCAGCAATCAGCCTGTCCACACCCTCCATTCAACATCTTATGAGCTTGTGAGCACAATCATATCAAACCCAAATCTGTACCCTTGAAGGACAAGAGGGAAGAACCTGGCAGACAAATAATACATTTCCAAATATAACATTTTTGGTACAGAAGGAGATGTGCTGCAGTATATGCACAAATAAACTGTGTGCCTGATACTTCCTTCATACCACCCTGCACCAGACACTACCCAAACCACACCCCTGCACAGAGATGAAACAACACATATTCGCACCACACACCATTAATGAAGAAAACCAGCAAATCTCAGCGGTCTGAATAGCAAAAGAACATCAGTAACAGCCATAAACGTATTTCAAATTCACTCTCAACTCCACCAGTCCATCCCAGATAGCTATACCTTTAACACCTTTCCCAATACAGCCACATCGTTAAGGATCAAGGGGTTTTGAGACAGTTCTGAGACACTGGCCAACAGAAAATACAATAATGACACTCTAGGGAGGTGTACCTCAGTGGGTCTGTCCACATCTGGAAGATCTTACTTGGTTAACTGGACATTTACTTAACTCCAAAAATACACATCACCATAGGTTACAATCTTTAACTGAACTTAAGCTAAACCAAAGCTCTAAGGCATTTGTTTGGAAAAAAACGTATTCATCATTCATGAAGAGTTGCTTAGCAGCGATTCTTTCACAACTTCCACAATGACAGACACGTGATTTGTGGTAAGACACAGAAAAAGGTGGGAAAAGTGAACTGAGATCATATTTTCTCTCCATATTTGAGAGGGACTCGCCTGAGTTTGAAATGTACTGGGACTTTGTGGTAGGGGTAGGGGTCAAAATGTGAAAAAGTCACATCTGCTTAAAGCCTCATCAGCTGGGGCTGACTCACCAGAGAAAAATCCTGTCTCTTGACCTTCTGTGGAAATGCTACTTACATGCTACACAAGCACAGACGGCAGACACATTTGTCTCTTGCCATCAGGATTTTCCTTTCCCAGGAGCACTCCCAGGAAAGTGAACCGGCACTATCTCTTTTTTACCCAAACACTAGAACAAAAACATTACACATGACTCTATAATCTTACCAAGCATTAAAATTGCTTTTAAGACTGCAAACACAGCTCCCACTTCTATACTGTTGTGAGCAGCAGCCAAGAGGTGACGATCACAAGAAGAACGAATTCCAGGAAATAATTTGCCTATGGAAAGAAGATAAAATCTTGTAGAAAACGGCAGTTGTTTACCAACTAAAATTTCCTATGTACAAAATCCCTTTCATCTAGAATGGCTACAGAAGTACAATAACTGAATTAAGAACTCAGTTTTCTGGAACTGAAAGTGAAGACCAACAGGTAAGTCATTAAAATCAACTGGGATATGTGGTTATGAAGTATTAATACCAAAATAAGCTATGATAATTTAAATAGAAAAAGGATCTTGTCTTTCACTGTGTCCATGTAAACAGTGAATTTAACCACGAGACACTGACATGTATTTTAGTTTTGACTTCACAGGTTTAGGAATTACTTCCCTCACCTAGTCTTCATAACAAATAAAGCAAAATTAATTAATATAAATGCCTGTTGCAGTTAAGCCTAATTCTGCAGCTCAGAAGCAGACTTCAGAAGAAGCCAGTGAATGCTTTTTCTAACTTGAAGATAAACAGACAGAAAGACAGGGAGAGAGGGAGGGAGAGAGGGAAAGA